AATTTTAGTTTTTTTTTATCTCATGATCAATAAAGTAATTTAAAAAATTGGACTTTTAGGCACTTTTCATGTTATTGCGCGCAGGTACTAACTTCTCTTATTAGAAACTGAATTACGCCATATAAACTTTCAATTAGGATAGAAAGTTTCACGCCGAATCTAATAATATTGACGTTATTCTAAATATCTTGTACAATATACAAACGATATCACAGTGATGACAACATTTATGATTACGTAATTGTTCGCTTATTTCTATCGTGATTTTGATTTGATCGATTTTAAATTGACTTGATCGATATTAAATATATTTTATCCGAAACTATACGGAGTTATATATTATCACGTAAACGTATTTATAAAAAAAATTAATTTATAATTTAATTTACGTTTTAATTCGTTCACCATATTAGATCGACTTATTTATTATTCTGTGATAGTAACTTGAGTAATTTTAGGCACTTAGACATCAACACTCTGTACGAAAAGGATTATTTATGATCAAAAATATTTTAATATTTTTATAGCCTTTTTTTATCCAACAAAATGCTCGTGCTTTTGAAAAACTATATACCAGTTATTGAAATCTGTTTCAATGAGCATTTACAAAAAACTTCAATTAATTTTCGTCTTTTTAAAATTATATTGAATAGTTTTTAATTTAATCAAAATTGATATCAATTTTCCAATATCATTTTTTTTCTCTAGAGTGTTGGTGAAATATTCTGAGATCAAGCATGACTCTCTTGAACATTAATTTATCTATAACATCCATTAAATCTTGAATTTAATCACGCGCGGCAGAAAATCTTATCGATTTTTCGTCGGCTCAGTGTTTCTTCATGTGATTAAGCATAATCGTTCGCGTGACAAATCCCTTTCCGCATATCGTGCAGGTGTACGGACGCTCCCCCGTATGATAACGACGGTGCACGGTGAGCGTCGACGCCTGCGTGAACGATTTGCCGCACATGGCACAGAGATACGGCCTCTCGCCGGTGTGGATACGTTGGTGCACCACGTAATACTTGCGATGCGTGAAGCCCTTGCCACACACGTCGCAGACCAGCGGCCGCGACCTGTGCACAGCCTTATGCGTGGTCAACGACTCGGCGGTAGTAAATTGCTTGGAGCACGAGTCGCAAGGATAAGAAGGTATGGGCTTGGCGGGAATTACAGGACCACCGCTCCCACCACCACCGCCGCCGCCGCCAACACCGAGATTGCCGGCTATCATCGAATCGACAGGCGACGTACCCGCGACTATCCGATTGTCGTTACTCGCCGGCAACGGTCTGTGGGTTTTCGCGTGATGATTGTACAAGTTGCGCGTCTCGAAGCGCATCATGCATCTCTGGCAAGAGTAGGGTTTCTCCTGGGCGATCTCCTGATGCATCTTCCGGTGACGTTCCAGTAGCGTGCGATACCGATAGCTGGCCTGGCAGAGATCGCAGGCGAACGTTTTCTCCATGTTGCCGCCGGGCGACGACGTGGCGAGATTGGCGGAGGTCGACGTGCACGTGGGCACGGGCGCGGAATGCGTGACCTCGTGCATCCTCAGGTGGCTCAAAGCAACGAAGATCCGCGAGCAGACCCCGCACGAATATCGCGGCTGATTCTCGACACCGTGCTCGAATTCCGGACGCGCGGCGTGACTCGTTCGCATGTGGTAATTTTGCTTAAGGGCGCTTCGGAACTCCAGCCCGCACGTGGGGCACGGATAGGATTCGGTAAAGATTTGCACCTGATCGGACAAAGACTGGTCCGGACACACGGACTGAAAATGCGGAGGGAGCAATGTCGATAGCATCGACGATTGATTCGAGAATATCGAGTTGGTCTGTAGGAGATTACAATTGACGGACATACCGGCCTCCCCGATCTCGGGCGAGGGCGAGAGAATTTGACGCAGCATCCCCGACAATCCGCCGAAGGTCTCGCCTCCTTCCCTGAAATTGACAAAACCCAAGGACATTGCAACGGAGAATGACCCGTGGGCACACACAGCTTTGTCTTTTGATTTCTGTTCTTTGTGATCATTACAAATATATCTTGCGTACAGGCGGTGATGAGAAAAAGAGGAAAAGAGAAAAACAGAGAAAGAAAGAGAGAAAGAGAGAGAAAGATAGAAAAAGATAATTATGCTTATGTGAGTGCTGCAAGGTGGCCGGTGCAAGGTGCTTGGGCATTGCTGGCATCCCTGTCGAAACGCAGCAATCATAATGTGTTACAAGAGCGCACGTGCGAATCGAGAAAGTCGTCGCGATTGTCGTCAAGTCAAACAGCATTGGAAGTTTATCATCCGCTGGGAAGTTTATCATTCGCTACGTGAATACTCATTAAGCTTTCGGAATTTATAAGGCTTACATGATAATATTATTAGATGAATAACATTACAGGATAAAAATGACTTATTAATTACGAAATGATCTTGTAGACCTAGTCTCTTATGTTCATTACTAATCAATATCGTTTAAATTATAATTAGAAATATGTACATAAAAATATGTATGTATATATTTATACATATATATTGATATTCCCTAACGATACAGCAGAAGGGAAAAGTAAAAATCAAGCCATAAAACTTGGCAAAAGAGTTCGAGAAAAGCAAATTTTTACTCAAAAGATCACTAATGACTTGGGATAGAACATGTTAAAACGCAAATTAAATCAGGTATTAAAAAATCTCACCTTTTTATAAATAATCCATAGCCACGATAAAGCATCTTCTTCTCATTTTCACGGTGTAAAACGGAGCATGATTTTTCACGGACGTGTACCTATACTTGCATCCAACACATTTTCGTATCACAAATATATATTACGCGGAACAACATAAAAATCCAGCTAAGAACTGTAATAAGAATAACAGACAAAGGAGAAAATCAAATGTATTATTCAGTACTTTATGAAAAGTGACAATATCTATGAAAATTTGACGCAGCAAAAGCACAAAAAGTGCTGTGTGTCAACCTTTCATGTGTCAGATATCCACTCAAAACTGAACAATACAATTTTCTCCATTTACAGAAGCATTAAAAAGATCCATGATATAAAATGACATACTCAGAATATGCCCAAAATATCACGTTTATCCAATATTGCAGCCAATTCAAGGCGCAATAAATATTTAATAATTTTATTTCAAATGCAAAACCGGCGCATTTATGCAAGCCTGGTTTATCATTTATTAAAAGAAACTATGCCTCGCGGTATATCTTTTGCACTTATGGAAGCGCGCGAAATAATACGCGCAATCCAAGCAATGTGCATGATAAAATTAAAATTTGTGTTAACATCGCATCGTAATAACATCGGATATGTGTATAAGAGAATTTATTCGATATCAAAATAGCATCGTTTAACTTGTCACGGATAACGATGCAAATTTACGTAATGGCATTATTGAAAATCGCAATATTCGGTTTTGCTTATAACAAGAGATAGTCTACAAATAAAATAAAATATATAGAATGTAGAAAAGATACTCGCCTTTGTGTTTACAATGCGAAAAATCCTCTTGATATTTGGCAGTCTCTTAATGGACGATTCTTTCTTTCGTTTCGCAGAAATCTTCGAATCGGAAGAAATATGATCCTTCATCTTCTTCAACATCAAGATTCTTAACAATTCTTAACCGATGTCTTCTCGGTTATAGTACACTATTTGCGCAATTACTTTTATCATCCGGCGAACTGCACCGGATACGCAAAATTTATTAACGATTTCATAGAACACGTATTTTTTTTTACGTCGATTAAAAAATAACTCTTAAAATTAATCGCAACATTAATATAGTAATACAGTGTCCTGGCAATATCGTAAAGCGCAGGCGTCGGAAAGCACGAAGATCATAAATCAGAAATGGTAGATAAACGTTGCATCAATTGAAATATTTATCGTCTGTGATTTTTGGATCGGCCGAATATCGGTCATGTGTGCGGCATTTAGTGCCATCACGTAAGCGTGGGAATATTAGATAATATCGACAACATGTAAACATCTGGTTTATGAGTGGACAGAGAGATCAGGCTGGTTTCCCTCAGGCATCGCTTATTGCTAGACGAGAAATCAATCCCTTTCTCGTATCATGGATATGAATAATCCAGAGAGATCTCTTTATCCATTTTCTTGCACATATATAAATAATATCTAACACAAAGTCCATTTCGACTAAAGTATAAAAATTAATATTAAATACTTACGAGACGTAAAGAACATTGTTGGAAAATTAATATCATTATAATTATTGTTGCTATAATTAAGATTGTGTTTCATCGAAATGCACTTTATGTACATGCTACCACATGTAAAAGTAACAAGGTGTTTAGCAATTATTCTGGACTCAACAAATCTGCATCTTTTTAAATAACGAAAAAACAAGATTGTTTAAAAGTAATGCGAAGTAATGTTATACATATAAAAAATATTTGTATAAATTGCTAAACACCTAGAGCCAAAGATGGTTGTGGGGTGTGTTCAAACTTACCTTGTGTTTACCTGCGTCTTACACTTATAAGAATGAAAGCTCGGATAATCGTTATCTATCTTGAATTTTTATTTCTACTTTATTGATTCAATAATATAATTATTTCAAGACTTATTACCAAATTGCGTATGAAAGTGCACGAAGAGCATGATGTGTAAAATTAAAAGTATTTTAAAACAATATTCTCAGATATACATATAGGTTAGATATTAATTCTTTTTAAATAAATACATTACAATGTCGTTGGTAACTTCTGTTTCTGCCTGTATCAAAAGTACTTTACGTAATAATTATGATTGTACAATATATCGTTAAGTTTTATTCCATTTATAGACATTGTTGATTTCATTCAAGACCAACTAGTTCTATTTATCTTGACATTCGAATAAAGTTGGTAAAAATAATAAGTAAATCAAATTAACGCAATGTTTATGTGTAATTGTTTATGTTCACCACAACAAATGACACCTTTGGCCCTCAAACAGTAAAGTAAGAACAGAAAACTCACCCAGTTTTCGGATCCACATCTGCTGTTTGTGACATCACCATCTCGGGCATATCGGCAATTTTCTGTTGCTGAAGTCCAGAGGGGCCAGCTTCGTCACACGCCAAGGAAACATTAACAAATGTCGTAGGCTCTATAGTTCTACTATTATTAGGATCTTCTTCACTTTCTTCTTTTATAGGTAGGCCTTAAACAAAATTTCAAACGTTCTCTCTTTTTTTCTTCCTACGTTTTTCCAAATTTTTAAGCTATCTGCCTAATATATCTAGTAATTACATATATAAGTTACAAAATTTAATACATAGCACAAATGTGTACCTTCATCTCCATCGCACTCATCGTCCGAGTTTTCCTCCTCTTCACTGCTCTCTTCTTCCTCTTCTTGTTGCGTAGGCGTGTCTGTTTGATTCTGCGTGATTTGGTCATGTGTCGTTTGCGTGCTTGGTCCAGCTACTGGTTGGACATTTTGTACAGAGCTACCACTGTTGTCCATAGGAACTGAGGTTATTTGTTGTTGGGCATTGCTCGACATCATTATGGGCATACTTAGCCCCATGTTGTCCATCATACCCATATTCATATTGTTCTGATGTTCGCTTACTTGTTGCATCACAGTACCATCTAACCTGTTCTCGTTGTTCTGTTCTTTCATCCCATTCTAAAATTTAACAGAAAGCAAACGACATGAGTTTTGTATTTACCAAGAATTAAGAGTTTCGATAATAAATTAAACTAAATAGATATTATCGATGCTTCATTTTTTAATTGAAGCAATCCGTTTCTATGTTTTAAGTTATATCTAATTATTGTATATTACGTAAATTTTTTTATAAAATTAAATTTACCGACTACTAGATAATGTACGTGAAAAAAATTGTAATATATAGAAATATAAAATGTGAAATATTAAAAAAGAACTTACAGTGCACAATATGCAAAATATTATGAATATTATGATCACTAGCTATTATCATTGCTAAGGTAAACATAGACAAAAGAAGAACGAAAAAAATGATGATCGTGTCTAATTTCCAAACTGTAGAAAACTATACAGGATGTGTGTTAATTTCTCTTAATCTTAAGCCCCTTGCACAATAGGCGATAGCGATAGCTGTAGCTTTGTCGGCACTTTTTGTCGCTGTCGCTGTCGCTGTCGCTATCGCTATCGCTATCGCCTATTGCGTAAGGGGCTTGTATTAAATTCGTCGAGAAAAGGAACTATTACCACGTTTATGCGAGCGTTACTTCTGCAGTAACTTACGATAATTCCTTCGCGTAAACGGAATTTTGTAGTAACTTGCGATAATTTACTCCGCGCAAACGAGTGAATTATCGTAAGTTACTATAGAAAGTAACACTCGCGTAAACGTAGTATATGTGACAAATAAGTTGTATAGAATAGTAATTACCGGATTGAGAACATTGTAACCCTGTTTGTCTTCCATGTTCACTTCGCCTAGCCATTGCAGCAACTGTTTCTCGGCATTCGCCGTCGTATGCCAAAATTGATAACATAACTCTACTTTATACACGCAGTCGTCGCATATCTTTTTAGGTAATTTGTCTTCCCTGTTTACCTATAATCATAAAAAAAAGATTCGTAAGGCCTTTTAAAACATCGCAACTTGTATACATGCATCACAATATTTCTTTACTTGTATACATGCATCACAAATTTTATTTATATCAAAATTAACTCTCCGTCTGTATACGTTTTTCTTTTTTTGCACTGTCGTGGGTCATTTGACGCAATTTTGCCCTATCTTAAAATATTTAAAAAATCTGAAAAAATTCACGAAACATTTGTCTACATTGTAGTTAACAACTTCATAGTTATTTTGATAAACATTTAATATTTTCTGGCAGGCTTGCAAGTTTTACAGTTACGAGCAGATATTATTTTAACTCGAACGCCGTAATAGACCCACGTATACAGACGGAGGATTAATTTCTTTAATAAGTTAAAATCACAATTTTTTTTAATTAAAATGCAATTCATCAATACAATATACATTAGGATGACAATCAAACTAGCCGCACAGAACCAGCCGCATTCAGGGGCGAATAGCCTCTGCGGGCCCCGGCGCAAAAAATTTTGCATTTTGCATTTAAATTAATAAAAATTCTACAGATCAGTTATATAAAGAATAAACATAGTCGCGAAATTTATTTCAAGTGCATCTGAGCATGCAGAGTGAAAAAATTTGCGATTTTATTATAAAAAATGCGGAAAAATCGCAAATTTCTTCACTCAGCATGCTCAGATGCACTTGAAATAATTTTTTTCATATTGTTTATTCTT